CATGCAACCCACTGTGCACCGTGCAACTTTGTATACTTAAGGAGCCGGGAGCTGGGGGAATTCAGTGCCGTGATGTTGATTATTCTAAATGCATAGACCTGAAGAAGGGGGGGGGGGGCAACCCACAGTGGGGCAAAGAGGCATGCACAAACACTTTGGCATTGTCCAGAGCCAAGATCTGCTGTCCTTTTCCCCTGTTCAGAGCACACAATTATTCTTCACAGCAAACGAGGTTATATGAATGTCAAATGAGGTGCAGCACGACAGTATAGCACCCCTTGTGGCTACAGCAGAGGTATACAGTTCCAGGGAGTTCAAGCTACTGCTATAGTCCAATTCAATTTAGATTATTGGCAAGCACCAAAGCTTTCACTTTCATTCCCCGATTCTGACCTCTCTAGCAGCCATCCATTCCAAGGGCACCATGGGAATTCTGCACCATAATAATTAACTTTTTATTTACTCTGACCTGGTATCTACATACAGTATTGTACTGTAATACTGTATATCAGTTATGTGTAAGTCACGAGGAAGGCATTTGAACCATGCAGTGTTGCACATGGCAAAGATCTGATTGATAATCTGAGCATTCTTCAGGTCAGCTGAAAACTCTCCATGAAAGAACATACTGGACTCTTTCGGGGCAGTACAGCCCATGTCAGATCTCACACCAGGCGTGGTTGCCATGTTTGGTACAAGATTAGTGCTAGGAACCACCTCCCAGGATCAACAAAGTGAGCTGTTACTAATGTATTTGTACAATGACCATGCAGCAGATGCATTTAGAAGTAGCTCTCAAATAGTGTCCAGATCAGGAATGAGGTCATTGTATTTCTAACTGAAACTTCCCATAGAGATTAACGAGTCTGTCAGCTGGTTGTGGGTGACTTTATCGGGTCTCCAAATTGCCACAAAATGTTTGCAGGAATAACACCACTCATCTCAATAAAACCGAGAGTCTGCTTCTTAATCGGCACCTCAAGAGGCCGTGGGGTGTGTTGTCCAACATGTGTGAACAGCTCCTGCAAAGAGATACTCCAGAACACCCCAGGAACAGGTGTTTGGCCCAGGTAACTGTCTGGTTTGTTCCAAGAGGCAATGCAACATCAGTTTATCGTTGAAGGCAAATCTTAGAGAGCTAGTTGGTACTACGGAGCACTATTGAGCATCCGCTGTCCTAAATAGTCAGAGGATCCAAGCTGATGTCCAAGCTCCATATAATATGCTTTCAAAAACAAGGCTGATGCTTCTTTAATGTATATGATGCACAAAACATGAGGAAAGGCTTGAAAGCGGACATACATCTCCTTCCCCATCTAAATCTGCATCAGGTAGATACACACTCATCCTGATCCTGATGCTTTCTCTGAGCTCTGCCTGTTGGGTTTCAGATTAAAGGAATTTTACTTCACATTCAGAAATCTGTAAAGATGCAACTATTCTATGTGAGGTGGCTAATGGACTCAGTTTAATTCAATCACTAATTACAAAGGGATCTGACTCTCATTGCCAACAACTGCACCACCCAACATGCCGCTGATGTTCTGAGACCCAATGCTCCTAAACACTCAGACCCTCATCTTCAACATGGCTGAGCAGAAGCACAAGTAAAACTGAATCCCCAGACACCTGAAGACTTACATCTGGAAAATGTTCTGCTGGGGCTAGCAGCTAGCAGCTATTCCATTCAGAGATGCTGGTACTATTGGGCTTCTAAAGCATTACGGAAAGCAAAACCGTAAACTGAACAAAAACAAAAGCATTGCAATCCTATTGTTCCTCCCAGTTTTGGAGCACAGCAAACCCAGATACTGTGAGATTTCTTTCTGGCCTGAAGAATATTTTCTGTATTGTTAAGCAGTTATGTGAGAGCTAAGGCTGCAGAGAATTTCACCTTGGATCACTTCAGATTCCCTGGTGCTGCTTTTACATCTGAGGCATGACCAGCACATGGTCACGGTTCTTTTCTACAGGAAACAAAGCCGCTATTTTGTAAAATTCAAGGTTTTAGAGTATTTGTAAATCTGATTTGTTAACTGGGAAAAGCCAGTTGCTACCTACATTACCTGTGTGACAATAAAGTCTTGGATGTCCTCCCAGTGCTCTCAGGTGATAAATGGTTGCATAAATGATGAAGCAGAGTGGTTACCCTGGCGATGGATCTGTTCCTGTTAGGAAGTGTGGCTGTTGTGAGACGTGCATGTCAGCAGCCGTCTAACTTAGCGGAGGGATGGGTTTCAGGCTGCTGAAACGCCGCTAGACGTGACCGTAATGACCGTCAGGGCTGGCTGGAGGCATTCAGCCCTGTGCCCTGTCTCTTCCCGGCACTTTTGACCCCAATCCGGGCGAGCACGCATGTCGTGACGGAGGGACGACGGGAGGGGCAGTCAAGCTGGCTTTCAAAGTGACACCCCATCCAGGGAGAGAGTGCGAGGCACAAGGGGCAAGCAGGAGCAAGAGGGCGGGGTGACCAGTGGAGGGCGGGGGGGGGACGACACACCAGACTTACCTTCAGGAACAGGGGGGCGGAGTGTGGGGGTGGGCTGTGGGGCTGGGCTAGTGGTGACTCTACAGAGTTAAGGCCCTGCTGAATCTGCCCATCCTGTTCCCTATAAGACAGAACAAGAACAGCACATAGTCAACACTGTGTCTGTGCAGTACAGTTCACAGGGCGCCCCCTGCAGGGAGCACAGGGAAGTAACACAACACGGCAGGCAGCACAGGCATGACTGTGCAAAGACTTTCCAGAGGCTCAAAGCACTCGGTACCTCTTAAGTTCACACACAAGCTCACATCCACATAAATGAGGTACTGAAAATAAAGTCACCACACTCTAAAAGTAAACTGAATACAGTTTTACAAAATGGGAAGCACTTTAAATGGTTTGGACAGAAGGGGCATGCTCTCAGGAATGCCCCCCCACACCCCCACCAACCTAAAAAGATAACTTCACTACATCTCTGCATAAAGGCTAGAGGACATTATAGTGATAGCTAACGATAATGAAACAACCCCTGCACTAATCTGTATAAATTGGCCGTATCGTTATGTTTAATAAACGTGTCAAATTTTAAATGGCATAAAGTGCCACCGCACCACCGGCGTCCTTTTAACTTGTTTATCCACAGTATCTCCACTTTTAAAATATCTTCTGGCTGCTGATCTGTCCCTTTCTTCACCGCCACTTCAGTGCTTATCGCTTCCATTACTTACCAAAACTGTCGCATGTGGCGAGCTCCGTTAACTTAATGTAATAATGTCATACGCTGAAATTATACAGATTACCGACTTTTGGGCGTCACAATACACATCTCACTAATGCTTACCAGATTGTGGGCCTTTTAATAAAGCCATAGAACTCCAAAAATTAATGTGGATATAGTTTTATGAAACAGGTTTGGACTTTAAATTGTTCCGACAAAACAAAAGGGACACGCTCTTAGGAACGCCCCCCCCCCCTTCCATACATGTGCTAAGATAACATCTCCATAGGACATCATAGCCTTATTTCAGGGAAGGAATGGTTAACAATAATATGGTACCCTCCTCCCCAGCTCCTGACCCCCCTGCCAAAAGCCAGTGGGGCTGGCATTTGATTTCAGCTCCTTTCACCTGTTTAGACAACTGGCTTCATGCATTGTTTGTCATCCAGGATCTTGGCACTCCCAGTGTCACCGGACTGCGACCGGCGGAGGCTGAAAGTTGACACAAAGAGGCCGTTGAAGCTCCTCTCGTTCTGCCACACGGGAGTCTGTAATCAAACCGGTCGTTGGTCTGCGGCCAAACCCGAGCGTGTCATTTCAGATTATGTCTGCATGACGAGGGGCTACTCTGACCGGAGGAGCTTCTAATCGGACGGCGACCAGAGCGTGCATACGTGGCTTCCATCCAGACCAGAGGCGACTGCTCCATAGAGCTAGAGGAGGAAGTACCTGCTCTATTTGTAAGATTAAATTGTAAAATAAGTAACTCTGAAATGACTCATTACTACAATTTTATGGTCATTTAAAAACAGATTTTCTATCTTCTTTCGAAAAATACAGTATTGTACTATTGTGAATTATATTATCTTCTTACCTCCTCAGTTCTCCTACCCACCAGCCACCCTGATCCACACCATCTGTCACGCACACTGCCTAACTCAACACACCTTTTTAGCCCTTGCCAAGATCTGATGTCCATTTCATCTCCAGTGAGTCTTCCTTGTGCCTTCTGTCTTTGTCCCACCCCACCGTTTTCACTAAACACACATCCATCACCATCCCTGTTCCTTCCTTCCATCCGTGTCTTGTTGTTCTGTTCACCGTCTGACCCAGAGTCTAACAGAAGGCTACCAGTTAAAGAGTCACATGAGGCCTTGGGAAAAGAATTGGATTCTGTTTGATAGCAGTGACAAGAATCCCTCTGGGGAATATATTAGACTCAATGCCACTGGTCGCAGGGATCGTGGTGTCACCATACAAGTGAGAAATGTCTGTCTTAAAGCGAACGGCAGACTGGCTTACTCCAAAAAGCATCCCGGAATCAGCTGCGTCTTACGATTCCCAGTTTGTGAGCGCCAGTGGACACGAAAATTCATAGGGTTTGTACAGAAACCGACGGCCTCGTTCGAACACCCCGGAGCACCCAGGCAGACCAATCTCCTGTCACGCCTATGAAAAGTGAGTCATGCTTCTGTGCGGCCTGGTCTGTACCCGCCGGTCTTCTGGTGGAGAGTCGGCATGTGTTGTTTTTTATCTCCGTGGCGCCTCTGTGACGTGACACCCCATATGGCTCGAGGCATCGACCTCATGGCTGAACAATTATTTTAACTGCATGCACGGCAACAGACACTCAACACCAAACCAAACACATCAACATCAAACTAGACACAAAAAACACAGAGGCAGCTGAAGATCTGCTGTTTTCCTTACAGAAAACTGCTCTATGTTATCTATTCGACATTATTCTCCATGTAGATCAGTCACAAATATGTCCTACAAATGGAGCGTAAACACAAAGCACCTGTTTTTTGCCTACTCAACATGTCAGTTCTGGACTGACAAGTTGACCAGCTGGTCTCTGCACTCAGTCTACAAGGTCGTGGTCTCTGCCAGACCAACCAAAAACCCACCACAGACCTTTTGCTTCAGCATGGATGAAAGGTGGACTTTAAGTCTTTACACTTTAACCTAGTCATTTAGAGTTTAGAAGCACAGCATCAAAGATTTAGTAGGTATGTTTTTGGACTGTAGGAAATCCCCCCTAAGAAGACAAATAAAGAAGAACCAGCACTTAACTCCCCCCCCCCTCCCCCCCAGGTATGTTTTAATTTCAGTTGCACTCTGCCACCCAACACGGTTGTAATTTGAGCTTCTGTTACTCCAGATTCCCCATCTCTCCAGATTCCACATCTCTCCAGATTCCACATCTCTCCAGATTCCCCATCTCTCCAGATTCCCCAGATTCCACATCTCTCCAGATTTCCCATCTCTCCAGACTCCCCAGATTCCCCATCTCTCCAGATTCCCCATCTCTCCAGATTCCACATCTCTCCAGATTCCCCATCTCTCCAGATTCCCCAGATTCCACATCTCTCCAGATTTCCCATCTCTCCAGATTCCCCAGATTCCCCATCTCTCCAGATTCCCCAGATTGCCCATGCTCTCCGCATCCACAGTGCCAACATCGTACGCACTACCTAGGGCATACACACACACCCCCAACCCCCCCAACACCCGTGGCCGGTTGTGTGCTTGTGTATCCCAGCTGCTGGTGGAGCGGCCTAATGTAATAACAGACATAGACTTACTTCCACTGTGATGTCGTTCCCTGGATGCCTTGGGGCAGGAGGCGAGGTGAGTTTTACAGATCAGAACGAATCACCTGCATGATTCTCAGCTGCACCGGGGATATTTGTGAGGCAGCGTGGAGATCTGAAGAAGTCTTTCTTCATTCTCCGTCGCTTTAAGGCTTTGTTCCCCTGCTTCCTCTCTCTCTCACTTGTTTTCCACACTTGCTCTCCTTCCATCTCCCTCCTTCTCATCTCCCCCACTCCCCCTTTCTGCTCTATGAGGCTGTCACTCATTCTGCACCTGTACCTTCTCCCTCTGTCTCGACGATCTTTCCATCCAGTTCTCCTTCCCTCTATCTCTCGCATTCATTCACGGTCTGACACTGGAAGCGCAAGATCACCGTCTCTCTGCATTCCGTTGGCTCCTTGTCTCTCTCTTTCTCCCTCTCTCCTGGCTCTCTGGCTTTCCCTGTGTCTCCCTCTCTGCCTCCCCCCTCCCCCAACCTGCTCCCTAGGACCTGGGATGCGCCCACATGTCGACCCACCTGCCCAGAACCTCTGCCTTTCTCCCAACCTGTAGGGGCCACTTGTGTTGCCCACAATGGTTGTTCACATGTCACACAGCGCCTGAAAACCACTCCACCAGGACAAGAGGCTTTGGCCACAATAATTCATTGTGTGCGAAAAGCAAAACGCACACCTGAAAATAAATCATGCTCACAGCGCGGGGACTAACCAAGCCATGCCGATAAGCTCAAAAAGCCAGAGCTGCCCAGTCTGACAGGGACCTGGGGATTTGCAGCCTGTGGTTGTTGTGTATTAAATAAATCAAATATTTTTCTGTAAGGAAAAACAGCCAGATAGCACAAGCGTGAAATAGCTTGGCTGCAGCCTATAGTGTGCTTTTGAACACAACAGCGGCAGTGCTCAGCTGGCCAATGGCACGGTTCAGAGCAGCAACAGAGTCAAGCACCATCCAGTTACGTGGATCGGAACCTATTGGTGACAGAGTGCATCATCAGCTAATACCGTAGCTGGGAGAACATGATTTGATCATTCCTTATGCATTATGATGGTTGTTATATATCATGCAAATATTATTTCCCTAAGGTTTGAGCTGACACACAATTTACACATTATAAATTATACATATTGTTTTGGAAGAAAAGTGCATTATTCCATTACTCCTAATCAATTTTCAAATCTGAGATTCGGACTTTCAACAAGGCAAAAAGTAGCTCTATGTGCATGGTGATGTAATGCTCTGGAAAGCTTGTTATGAACAGGCAAATGAGAGCAACCTGTGTCACAATGTTATCGCTGCCTCTGATGCTTTTGGTTAAGAATTCAGATTCTGGAAAGTTCTACTCTAGTTTGGTTCATGATTGAAACCTTACTTCAGCTGCCATTTCCTCCTCGCATTCTCGCAAAGTGCCCCCCCCTCCCATCCTCAGTGCCATTGCACACACTCAATTACCCCCTAAATGGATTTGTCAGTCACAGACACCTGACACTTCTTCACTGTGGAGTTTCACCCCTGATGGACCTCCCAGCGTAAACGGCTGAATGCTTTGCCTGGTGAAGCAAGCAGACATTGAGACTTTGTCAATATCCAGCCCAAGCATAAAACTGTACCCTTCTCACACAGAGAGTGTTCTGTTCCACATATTACTAACACACATAATTGTCCAACACATCCTTCACAGTTATAGCTGGTACCACAATGGAATGGTAACAGATAAGGAACAATGGCTATATCAGAAAGCCACAGATATAGCTTGTAGAAAAAGCAGACAGACAGAATGAGGCCTCACACAATTTTAGCTCAGTGTCATT